CTGCCGCGTGTGCGCGCGGCGCTGCGGCGGCGTGGCCGAGCTGCGCGCACACGTCTACACGCACAGAGGTCACCGCACGCTTCTCTTATACAGCCCGTGCGGCTTCATCCGCATCTAATTGTCTAATTTTTATGTTATTGTTTACAGCAAATGTCAAAATTACATGACATAATCTTGGCAATCTTGCTTCCTTGATGTTGGCAGCAACTTATGGTCTCTTTCCCACATTAGGGTTTTTATCCAAAATATTTACCCCCTAAGTTTAATGGCGTGAAAATATATAGCCTAAAGCATGGCGTAAGTGGAGGGCTTTTTTTAAAAAAAAGTATTATTAAAAAATTTGCTGTAATTGCTGACATCTTAGACAACTATAATAGTATAGATATTTATACTAACATAATAAAGCGTAAACACACTACTTGGTGGTGTAGGATGTCAGCAATTCCTTCCTACTTTAATAAAAAAAAGCCCAACACTTACGCTTTAGGCTAAACTTAAATAAGTTGGAGAAAACCTTCATGTGGGAAAGGGACCATAAACTACAAGCTTCCAACATTAAGGAAACAAGGTTATTATGGTAACGATAGTTTTGACATTTGCAATTGAAAATTTGACAAATGTAAAGAAAATAAAGTTTTTATAATTACATGCGGATGAAACCGCGCGGGAATATCTAGTTATATAACAAAAAATATAGCCTATGTTATTCACAGATAAATTACCTTTCTAACAGTGTAAGAATTTTTAGAATGGGTCCTGTTTGAATTATTTCAATACATATAAAAATACAAATCTTTCCTCTTTTATAATATTAGTATAGATTATTTAATAAAATATTATTTTATAGCATATTTCAGACTATGTTCTACATGTGTGCCAAATTTCATTGAGATCCGTTCAGCAGTTTAGGCTACAAACTCTAACAAACATCCATCTAAACTTTTATATATTGTTATAAATTTCGATATGAATGACTTTTTAAAAAAAATATGACAGTCGAGCGGTAATATGAGCAATACTGGTGAATTATTATAAAACGAATACACTAAGGCAACTACGTAAAAGATATCGAACGTTCCATGATGAAGACCAGAAATGTACTGAGCTACTGAGCTCCTGAAGCAACTGAGGTACTGACGCCTAGAGAGCTTGTTAGCGACTGAGTGACGTCTAAGCGACTGAGTGCACCTCACTCCTTGCAAAGACTTTTATAAAACTACCCCCCACTACTACTTCCGTTTCTATTATTTTGTAACAATATATAATAATAGTAAAATAACTTAGGTGCAGCTAAACTTGTGTTAAAATAAATAAAAACGGTTACTAATCACACAATACTTACTGTAATGTCAAAAATAAGCATTTATTTGATTTTTAATAACTTGTTTTTTCTGTATTTCAGGTACGGAGACGTTTGTCTGCGAAGTTGGCGGACATGTGGCGATATAATTGTTTATATTGTAAATGTTTTATTTGCAATAAATATATTTTTACACTGAAATTTGATTTTTAATTTATGTCCTACCAGCTTTTACCCGCGACAACATCCGTGTGGGATTTTAAAAAAAAGTGAGTAGCCTATGTGTTCTTACAGACTGTCCTCTACATTTATAACAAATTTCATCGAAATCCGTTCAGCAGTTTAGGCTACAAACTAACAAACATCTAAACTTTCGCATTTATAATATTATCATAGTACTCTTAAAACATCATAAGTACTTTTATTTTTTACATAAGAATCAATTAAATTAGTTTATCTTTGTTATAGATTATCGTTAACCTAGACTTATATTAAAACTTACGTTATCTACTCGATAAAATAAAATTTAAAAAAATATGTTTTAAAACCCAACCAACAGATGGCGTTAGTTCACTTAAATACCACAGATAATACATGACTGTATTTGAACATAATTGTCTCGTTTGTATTTATAAAATCACTTAAAAAAAATATATCCCTTATACGTTTCGTCACCGGTCATACGAGAATCACTATTCCAGCGTTTTCCAATAAGAATTTAAGATGACAAACATTACATACTAGCTGCGCGACTTCGTCCGGGTGTAATTAAAAAATATAGCCTATTTTACTCACAGATAAATTATCTTTTTCTAATGGTGAAAAAAATTCTAAAAGCGGCCCAGTAGCAGAGTTATTTCAATACATATAAAAATGCAAATATTTCTTTATAATATTAGTACAGATAAGTACAAAAAAAAGCTTGCTCTAACAAAGAAATAAAACATATTTTTTGTACAATCAGGGAAACTGTCGGTGTTCCACTTTACAACCTTCAATCGTTGAACATTTTGAAACGAGACGCGGAAAAATAACCAATACAAGTAAATGTAGTAGTCAGAGAACTGTTTTTTGTTGGTTTTAGACTTATGGGGTATATCGTCGATTCGAGTCAAAGGCCCCGGTAAAAACATGTACATAAAAAAAGTAAATGTAACTACGAAAAAGCCTGTTAGTGATACGGCTAGTTTCTATTTATTATCCCTTTGTTTGCACTCTGCAAATAAATTAGTTATTTGTAGAGACGGATTTGTTATTTGCATTGAACATGGCGATTTCGCCTAAAGCGGAACATCGCAGATTTCCATGACTGTACTTGATTCTGTTATCGATTGGCTTTCAAGAGGTTCGCTTCACGAAACATCCGGATATTTCCTGTCTATCAGAATACTGAAATACTCCCACAGATATGTTTTGTCTCTATCATTGCAAAGAGTGTGAAAAGGATGGCACGATGCTTTCATGTGTTTGGACATCCATGCTACATGCGTTACATACGAATTGACTTTATTAGGGTTGTGTTTAATCCACAAAAAACGTGATTAAAGTGTTATTTTAACTTAAAAAACGACTTTTCTCTAATACATGTATACTAATAAACTTTGTAATAATTGTTTTACTATACTAATATAATATCGAGGAAAACTTTGCTTGATTGTAATGAATAGGTTCAAAAATTACTGGGCCGATTTTATAAATTATTTCACCGTTACAAAGGTAATTTATCTGTAAGTGATAAAGACTATATTTTTAAATAAAACATTGCAAGTATTTTTTAATAAGTGTAGCTTACAAATATCTTAAAAGAAAGAATCTTTGAATCATAAAAAAACGCGTGTAATTATTATTTTTTTGGATTAACATAGCTTTTGTGATCAGTGATAATGTAGCTTTACAATAGTGAAAGAATTTTTGAAACGTACTACGATTATGTAGTTTTGAGTTTATTCGTTACGGACAAAAATACATAAATCTCTAGTTAATGAAATTTCTATTGCACTCAGAGTAGTGTCTATGAGAGTAATCTACACTAAATTATGAGATAATTCAGACTTTAATTAACAAACAGTTATATTTTATACCGATGAAGTTACTTTTTAATTGAAATACCACAGTCGTCAACCCTAGCAGTCCATCGTTTTATTCCATGTGTCATACAGGGTGGGGGATGGAGGGGTGAGTTCCGTCTGCGAATGTTCCCTGTCTATTTAATAGCATTGGATACGGGAGAGATATCGATATCCAGTTGTGACGAACTTTGTATTGCTATATTATTTTGACTAGCTTTCGCCCATGACTCCGTCCGCGTGGAATTAAGAACACTTAGTAAGTAGACTACATATTTTCGTAGACTATGTTCTATATGTGACAAATTTTATAGATATTAAAGTTTTAGATATACGTAGTTACAAACACCTATTCATACAATTTTTTTTTTCTATACTAATATAATAAAGCGTAAACACACACTTTGTGGCGTAAGATCTCAGCAAATACATATTTTTGAATAATTCTTTAATTCAATAAAAGGCCTACACTTACGTCACGCTTTAGGGTATATATTTTCACGCTATTAAACTTAGGAGGTAAATAAATTGGATAAAAACCCTAATGTGGGAAAGAGACAATAAGCTCAGGGCTGTCAACATCAAAGGTTATTTTGACATTTGCAATTGAGAATTCGACAAATGTAAACAATAAAATAATGTTTTTATAATTTCGTGCGGATGAAGTCGCAGGGGACAGATAGTTAATAATATTAGTAGATTATACATTTAAAAACTACACCAACATGCTGTTTCTTTTAATTCCTTCGTTACATTTAATTAACTTCAGTCCCAGACAATGATATAATTTTTGATTTGTTTCCCCCATTCATCAATACGCTACCCCAATATCACAGAAATTGGATTTACTCTGACAAAAGGGGGTTATATTAAAAAAATTCACCCCCGAAATGGTCGTTGACCCCAGCACGAGGCGCGGTCGTTGACCCTCGGTGACGTCATCTTATCACCCTACTGGCATCCTTCAGTACATCCGTCTTGAGACAAAGCAATTGACGCTTTGTTCACATAAATCTTATTTCTTTATTTGTATACTAGCTGTTCCGGTGCGACTTCGTTTGCATGAATTTATGAAAATTTTATTTTATTGTTTACATTTGTCAACTTATCAATTGCAAATGTCAAAATGCCATGACATGATGTCAAGCAATCTTACTTTCTTAATGTTGGCAGCTTGTAGCATATGTTCCCTTTCCCACATTGGGGTTTTTATCCAATTTGTTTATCTCCTAAGTTTAATAGCTTGAAAATGTATAGCCTAAAGCGTTACGTAAGTGTAGGGTTTTTTACTAAAAAAATAAATATTCAAAAGTATGCTGTGATTTCTGACATCTTACACCAGTAGTGTGTGTTTACGCTTTATTATATTAAGTATAGATTGCTTTCGCCCGCGAATCCGTGCGCGCAGATCGAACAAAAATAAGTATCTTATGTGTTCTTCCAGACTTTGTTCTACATCAATACCAAATTTCATGCAAATCTGTTAAGCAGATGGATCGATGGATGTTTGTTAGGGTTGGCCGTCTATACTGCTGAACGGATCTCGATATAATTTGGCATTGATAGTCTGGAAGAACACAGGCTACTTGTGTTTTTTTAATTACACGTAGACAGAGTTGCGGGTGTAACCTAGTATAAAAATAAAAGTTAGTTAATAATAAAATAATTAAGGTATATATGTAGGGTGCGTAGTTTTTTGTATAATTCATAAAACAGTGTCGGCGTCACGCGCCGCTAACTAGGGAGCGACCGCAAACTGTTCATTTAACTGCTATTTCCATTGGCAGTGACGCTAAATACTTACTAATGTTTACACCATGTTAGAAAAACTCTAACCGTTCACATAAGATAAAGCACTTTGTTCTGTTGCCCAAATTAAAAGGGTCAAGTTTAAAACAACCATGTGTAAGAAAAGGATGTTTTCTTTGTTCTGAGGGGCTCAGAGCCTACCGTAATTTAAAAGTGACTAGGTATTAATCAACGTATTAGTTGACTACACACATTATTGATTTTTTTCACAGATATATGCATCACGATGTTTTCTTTCATAGTAAGAGCGTGGGTCTTGTTGTACACCTTTGACTAAACTCTCACAACTGTTTCATCTCGCTTTGATTCCTATGAGCTTAAGTGGAGATGCGCACACTCAAATTTAGTTGTGCCAAAAAAGTTGAATTGGCTGCGAAACAATCGACAATCGCACTTTTGTGCGATACTTTAGTCAAAGATGTGCTGCCTGCTCGTTGGGTAAATACATAAGAAATTTAAAAAATACATTGATACATTCTTGGCGGGGATCGAACTTGGATGAAGATTATGGTCCGTTTTAGTTAAGCACTTAACAACTGCGCCATCGACGACGGTCGTTAGTCTTCTAAAAAGTAGTTTTAAGTACTATCTTAATTAACAAATGATATTGGTTTCAAGGTTATGTTTTTATTGGCAGCCCTAACTAGCAGAGTGTCCACCCCTGTACTATTGCTCCCTTCGAAATTCATTATTGAAGGATTTATGTCTATCGCATTAACGTAACTATCTATCCGTATGTCTGTTTTGTTATTGCTGTAGTAACGAATAGCTGGTTTTTTAAAGTAAAATTGTCTTTTTAATCACATCAAAACTACACTTGGTAAGAAGTAGTTTTATCCATCATTTTTTATTATATTCAGTTCTGGTTTTAGTGATATCGCCCGGGTAAAATGTGAAGGTGTTTCTTGAGAGCAATTCATAGTCCTGTGGCACTCTTATAAGACGTCCTGGCCGGACCTCGCCCTACCCTAACGTCGGTGTTTTCAGTTTTCATTTATTACTTAGACTATTTTTATTACATTCTTTCATATATTATGGTCTAACTTTCAACTTACCTTATAATCGACAAATTATATGTTTGCTTTACATTTGTATCTATTATATATTATATACCGTTATGTTTGTCTTGCTTCTCCAGTCCCACTGTGTTGCCTGGAAATCCTCTGTTGCCTGTTAGCGATAAGGCCGCCCTTGCGCAAATCTAACATTACTTAATTTAAGCTTTGTTGTATATATGCAAAAGTTTTAAATAAATAAAAATAACATACAAATTGAGTAACCTCCTTCTTTTGGGAAGTCGGTCAATAAACAAAAGAATCGTTATGA